GGAATTGATAGCCACTTTGAAGAAAGAACATATTTCCTAGTTTATCGCAGAATCTTAAAAGAGAACGGCAATGAAAAAGACAGCTTTTGGAGAGGTAAAATTAAATTAGATCTTGTTGTGCTTTGTACTTTGGCTAATACGACTGAGGGAGCTTCGGCACAGCTTTGTAAAGTCGTCCCGGACCAGTTGCTCTACGCCGTCCTATCAATAATGGTGAGACATTTGAGACAGCTATCCAGCGATGCGCTCATTGTCTACCATCAGGCTTTCAGCTGCTCTCGGGATGTTTATTGAATTAACTATCCTACTGTGCTGTCTGGACGCAATTATCACAGTCGCGATCATCGCGACCAGACGTTGGAGGATCTCCCAAACATATGCGTCATTCCAATGTCTTAGCGCTGTGTGAGTGCCTCTGCGCGTGTGCTACCTAGCTTCGCATCACTCTACCATTTGGTAATGCGTTATGCTGCGCTGTTTCGTGCTCCAAGTCTTCCGTGGATACAAGTGGATAACACCAGTCCGTATTTCACCCAGTCATTCACGCTCACAACCAAGATCGTCCATTACCACATGGTGTTCCAAGTACACGCTCACTACAAATGAAGTCTGGTACCGTGAATACAGTGTCGGGATAAGGGCCACAGCTGCCACACACTGTCGCGCACAGTACCGTTAAAGTACCGTCTAATTTTAACTCTTCAAAAATGAGTCTCATTTGTACTCAAAAGCCCTCCTAGGAGTGCTATCATAAGAGATTTGAAGCTAGCTTACCAGACCAACAAAAATGCAGAAGAGTTGAACTACATCGGTATATGCGACAGCATAGAGGCCTCCAAACAATGTGTAGAGCATGGCGATGCACGCCGATACAATGACCGAAATGGTGCCGTTGATTCCAATCACTACGGCTATTGTAGCACCTGTTAAATTTTAAAAGGCGAGCAATTGAGTAGACATTATTTTAAGCACTGAAACGAAAGGAGCAGTGAAAGAATTGTGCTACCTAGAGCAGCAAGAATAGCAGCGGACCAGAAGATTTCACCCAGAAGAGCTGGAATGAAGAGGAGGCCACACATGCGTTCGCCGTACTTTGCCTGCAGTGGATCCAGCATTGTCACATACCCCAGGGAGCGCATCTTGTTGGCAAAGAACACTCCACCTGCATTTGACACATGCGGAGACAATGTGTTACTCCTCTTAGAGTTAAATGCCCCAAAAACAATAGTTTAAGAAATCCTATTTGTAGTTAATTTGGGCGCCAATGAGTTAGGTTAGTGAAGCATTTCATTTTTGTTGGCTCTGAAGCGTTTGGGGTGTTTTTCTGCAAAGCATCGTTTTCCATTTTTAATGCACACGTTGCATTCAAGTAATTTCTGGAATAAACGAGATCTAATTGACACTTTCGATAATTACTGGTGCGAAAATCGTAACAATGGCAACATTACACCTTTCGTACCATGTTTGCTTATCTATTCAGAAAAAGTTGTAATCCTTTTAGTTCAGTAATGTTAACTTTTAATTGTTAAAGCCATGATTCTTTATGCTCCCACCTTTGTCTAATTTCACAAATGATTTCGTTTCTAAGTGTCTGATGTATATAAATCAAATGGGAATGGCAGTAGACGAATGCTTAGGAAAGCTGTATCCCTTTCTAGGACTGTCGTAAAAAAAGGCAGCAATTGGTGTATTTGCAGGTCTATTATGTTCACTTCTGGCACCTTTGTTTTGTATTTGCCTCTTGAACTGCAGAGTATAGGCCCTAGGGGTCTGATGCCGTATTTTCATATCAAACTGTATGAAAATTTAGCAAGCAATTGCAGGTAGTGTGATTTTGTTTGATCTACTATGCACTGAGCGGTGCAGGGAAATAAATAGGAATCCATTTCACCACCTCGCATACTTACCTACTTTTTCAAACCTGGGAGCACTACGTTTTTCGCTTTCTACAAAAAAATCTGTACTCGAGGGCAGGGCGACCATTCTCGGTCAACTTCCCACCATAGAGAAGCCGATCAACAGCGCAGTTAACTCACCGACCACCAAACTGAGGGCATAACCAATGGGAGCTTGACAGAGCAGGAGACCTTGCAGTGGATCGTAGACAGCCTCTGCTGTCCCGTTGATGTATCCTCCACCCACCCATGTGGCTTGAGGGCAAAAACGGGCAGGAAAATAATGTCACTTAATGACGACAGTACCATTTCATCCACTGTGACACCCTAAGTTTGCGAATCTATGTGCGTCCCACAAAAACTCACTGTTTAAACTGACAATATTTTTGTGCTAGAGTGAACCGCTTCGTTGTCGTCTTTTTTTTTGTTTTTCAGTAAGATAAAAAATTTTGTCGGACAAACGTTGGAGTTTCGAGGAAATAGGGTTTGAAGTAAAATGATTAACACCACCACCACTTCATCTCCTCCAAATATGTTGAACTGTATGTTTTAACATGCCTGAAGAACATTCTCGAATATTCGAAGGCGTGACTTATTTGTTAATATGGTTCTTCGGATGATAAAACACAAATTTTTCTGCCTCCATTTAAATAATATGGACGCACGGGATATTAACTAACATTGCTTTAAATTTTGCCACTTTTAAAACAAAATGAGCATAGAATTACCAGTCATGGTGAAGACCCCAACGAAGAGACCGATGTCTCTACCTGCCAGCATAACGTCCTCCGAATCGGTCATTCCACCCCCCTCAGGTGTATCGGTATTCTGTGGATTTCGTGTAGCCGAGGAGGGCTTCTTTGACTTTCGTGCCGCCCAAAGTCCCACACCGAGGATAAAAAGGTAGAAGCAGATGATACCGACTATGCCCGGGATGTTCACTGACACCATTTTTTGTCACCCTCTTGGAATTCCTGTTTCGTCCGGCTCTCGTGAAGTTGCTAGAAATAAGCAAATAGATTAAGAACGTTAGGCATATATGAGAAGATATTACACTGTACAAATTGGTGAGATCTAAGTGTAAGAAGTGCTACCTGTCTTGCAATAGCAAGGTACATTCGTGCAAAAGTGACAGTCTTAATCATGCAGAGTTAGACTTGGATGATACCGTTATGGTGCCATGCACAACAGTCTCCGCACATATGGTAACACATCCCTGCCCAGACACTGTAGTCACGAAGCCAGACAACGGTAGTAGTGTGTGAATGAAAAGGACTACGCGAAATTCGGACTGGCGTTTTTTGCTTGCATCCGCGGAAGACTTGAAGCATAGCACAGCAGAGTACAGTGACAAGAAGCTCAGCAGCTTAGTCACACAACAATAAGACAGAATGGTGTACACGTTTGAGAGGCTGTCACGCATCCATCAGTGGCGATCTCGATCGTAGTGGCTGCGTTTGCACTGCACTGGACAGCACAGCAATCATTTCAATGAACATCCAGGCAGCAGCTGGAAGCTCGATGGCGGATAATCTGTCCATCAGAGTATAACCCCTTATGTAGTGAAATTCCACAATAGACAAATTTTGCAATCATTTGAGAATAATAGCTGTCTTGAATAAATACCGCACCTCAGATGTTCCAGGAAGGATCATTTGTAATGACAGTCACTGCCACTTGAAGCGCCAACAGGTATTACTTAATCTAACGTCGATAAAAGTAGAAATTCACCAAAGAAAAATATGACAATCTTACAAGCACCAAAGATCTGCGTTCTTCTTCCTAGTAAACCCCAAATTCCCTGTTAGACAAGATTGTGTATCGAGCAGACGAACATTAATACGGCAATTTCGTATGAAGCCAAATAGATTCCAAATGTTCCCCTTTACGCCGAAAGCCATTTTAAACCCTTTTTTATTTTTAAACACTTTTGTTTATTTAAGTATTTATTTGTTTGATTATAAATTAAGTTGATTAGTTATAAGAGCAAGAACAGCAATTTAAGTGTTACCATGATGATTAAACTTCCTGTCAGATAAATTTGTGTTATCACCAGGACCGAAAAAGATAACATCTTTGTATAGTTTAATAGTACATCATAAGAAGATTCCAATGAAATTTCTATTTTCTACCAACAAGAATATGGCAAAATCTGAATGGCAACGTTTATGTTAAGAGGTGAAGGGAACCTCCCCCAGATGAATTTACGTAGTTTGATAAGTGACTCAATCGTCCGCTTTTTTCCTCATTTACCGGATGCTGGCATAGATTGATCCTAATTTGGCTTACAAATGGCCCAAAATGCACAGTACGTATTCACAAAGTACGGAAATGAAGTGTAAAACAGCACCTTGATTGCCCTTCAAGTTTATTGTCCGCCCCTTGTCAACGAAAGACATGCACAGAGCTCAGTTCTTCACCTTCCTTACTTCTCAGCCTCCGCGAATTTCCCTTCCGATTTGATTCGACCTGGAAGCCATTGATCAAGTGACTGGCTCACTCACCCACTCACCGGCCACGTTAAAAGTGACGGTGATTTAAGTGGGGGAAAATAGTTGGGGCCATGGGGAGAGCAGTACCGGAATGAAATAATGACTCACATGTATGACGTTCGTGCATGTAAATAAGCGTATTTGACAAGCTTTGACTCGTTAAATCATGTCATCTCAGAAGTCAGGAAAAAATGGATGAAATTGTACAGAGAGCGAACTTGATGGAAGTATTGTAAATTCAGAAAATTTAATCCTACTGAATAAACGTAGTAATTTGCAATCTTTTCTTAAAGCCCCCCAAGTCACAGGTGTTTGATGAGTCCCTCGAAAAGATACACATAGATAAGCAAAATTAGTTTCAATGACAAAAGGGGGAGTTGGTTAATCTAGTCGATTTGATTTTTTTAAGAGTCATGAATAGCATCAAGAACGCATTTATATTCACCATCAGACTATTAAAAGCATGTAAACAAACTGTAATTCCTTCAGTCATCTCTGTTCAGTACCGTTAAAGACAAACTAAACCAGCTTATCACTACAACTCAAGGCTTGACATAACTGACGTAGAGGATGATCAAAAAGGAATCTCTCAGTATTCACCAGTAATTATGAAACACTATGAATCCACAAGATTGTTAGGATAGTGGTGAAATTCAGTCCCATCTTTTCATCATTTCGGATGAGTGCTTATGCATTTATCGCCTACCAGTTCCGTTCCATATCCTCCTTAAGATCTCCCCACTAACCAACATACACCAGCCCTAAATTGATCGCGTCATCAGCCTACCAGTCGATCAAGAGCGGCGGCGGTCTTTACCAAAAGTTGAAATCAAAAATTAGATGCAAAAAGCAGGATACATAGTGCCGCAAGTGTCCAAACCACATTTGCTTGTCCTACTTAAAAAGTATGGAAAACGCGGATGCAAGAGAAGGAACAACTCACCAATGCACACGGTCGTGGATGTTGGTCTAACGTGGAGCTCAGGACACCGATGCTTACACAGATTTGTGGTGATCATGACATGACACCAATGTGGATTTGTTGCGTATAAAAGCTGTTACACCTTACTAGATTACACCTTTCAACGTCTGCGATTGGTTTCCATAACTTGTGATGTTGCAAGATGAGTTCAAAGTAGTACGAGGTCAGCAATTATTTTAAATTTCCACAGACAAGCCGTCGTAAGCAATGGTGTGATAGTGAAATTTGATCTTAAAAACATCAAATGAGTTGGTTAAAACAGGATAAAACCACCTGACTAGACAAATATGTGCGAGCTTGACGTAGTAAACTGCGCAGACACCATCATTTTCACAGCTTGTCACCATCTCAATGCTACGACATCCTGTCCGTACCCATAACCTCAACCTCCCCATATCTTAATGGTAAACCTGTCTTCGAATGTATATACCAAAACGCTTCTTAAAATGACCTAAAAGGTACAGTAATGGCAACTGTAGGCGAATCCTGTCCGAACGAACAACAGTTGCAGTTTTGTTAACTGGAAAGCAGAAATGCGTCAATAAAAGAAAGGCATAGGCTGCAGACGACTGAATCTAAGGCGATTTACACAAAAGGTGTTATCAAAACCGCCATGAGGTTGATCAATTGGTTCCAATTAGACTGGCAAAAAGGCTGAATTAAGAGAGTCTCATAAAAGGATGTCTATTTTTTGCACAGTTTAAGGAACCGGGCTTAAACTAGAGCGACAGCTAAACAACTTTAAAATGTTAACACAATGGAAGGGAGTGTTCAGCAGATAAAACACGGGTTTGCATGTGTTTGCGTAAGTGCTTTCATTTTAAGGCAAAGGTTAGCAATGAGACATGCGATCCCCCTAAAACATCGTCATATCTTGTGTTATGCATGGCCATGAAGGGCCCACAATGCGTTTGGAGAAGTCAATTTGTTGACAGCTTCATGGTGCATAAATATCGACGGACTCAACTGTCTTCCTCTCCAAATAGAAGGTCATTGCATAATTTTCTCGTTTGTTCAGTGGCTGTCCACATATCAGCCGAGTACCTCATGACAAATGAACCAAAAGCGTAGTCTCTGAGGGTGTCGGAAACGACGCTCAAAGAGGGAAGGAAGGCTGTGTTGCAGAAGGCCTGATGTTAGACCAACACGTATAACGTTGCGGACTTTTAGAGACACCATGATCCGGTTATCACACTATTGCCATGAGCTAAGGCTTTCTGCCAACTGTGGAATTGGTAGCCTAGACCTTTTGTGCATTGACGCTAAGACTATCTTAAGTAGTGCCTTACAAATAGCCAAGAATTGCCTCGGTGGCTATCCAGTCCTTCCAAGAAAGGTTCGATATGTATGTATAAACAATTCAGCATAGTAATCACGTTAACTTTAAATCGGAGAGCTATTAAAAAATAATCGGAACACTGACTGTTAAATAACTTTTAAATACTTACAATATAAGTCACTCGTCTATGAAAAACCCCTGCACTTCTCATTTCCAAATAAGTGGAGTGATGTGTACACCTGCGCCTATGTGGGGGGTGGAGGCGGTAATGAGTAGATCCTTTGGATGAAGAACAACTAATGGTGCTGTCTTTCGTTGAACAATCATTAAAATCAAGTAAAAAAGCCATCACTGATTAAAAAGATTAAAAATGCACAGCACTTGCTTATAAAGTACGGGGAAGATGTGTGTGGAAAATTAGGGTAAAGGTCAGTTACTCGCTCACCTTCCTTACTTCTCAACTTTCGCAAATTTTTTTCTAATGTTAGCTTGACGTAGAAAGCACTGAATGATTGAGTGACTGACTTACTCGCTCACTCACACATCAACAATCGCGTTGAAAGTGATGGTGGTTTAAATAGGGGAGATGTTTGGGTTCACGATCAAATGAAATAGTGACTCACACCTCTGCCGTGCCATGCACGTAAATAAACTTACTTGGCAGGTCCCGCCAACTCACAGCATGTCACTGCAGCGGGGTGAAATAAAACCCGTCCGAACTTTTTTGGTCATTTGATTGAAAGTGCGAATTGTTTTATTGTCACGAAGGCTAGGGTGCGAACATATAAAATGCAATAAAATATTATCGCTTCTTCCATAAAACCTTTGAAAATAAAAGGAGTCGACTTATCGGTTATTACCCAAATGAAGATCTACATCCACTGCCTTGCGCAGTTGTACCCACTTTACAAATAAAGTTTCTGCCTATTTTAAGCAGACCATTCTAAGATCCCGATTTATTTTAAATCAGTCCATTTATAAAGTTAATTTACAGTATATAAGAGCGATTTGCCAGTGAAAAGATCTGCGTATATTTATAAAATTAGCTCTTGAATTAAATACCCCAATTCTTCTACTTCAAAAAGATTACAATAAAGCAAAACTGCTGTTAAATACTTGTTGGATCTCTTTTCTTTGCTAAAATTCGAAGGGTGCAATGCTTCTGGCCTAAATTTTACTTTTTAAGGATGAAACCGCCTGACCTATTTTGCACCAGTATTGCTGTCCTCCATTTGGTTTCACCCCAAAGTAAACCTCCTTTAAGGATTTTAAACAGTCAATTGCATTCACTCTGGAAATCGCCAATTACTGACGGTTAAATTTAATCCTATTGTCCACTGGGACAGGGAAGAAAAAACGACACTTAATTGTTTGGCCGACAAGCTTCTTCAGAAATGCATTTCTTGCTATCGGGAGTTTTAAGGTTGTTTTTTCCCCCTTCAAAGTATGCAAATTGCGTTGTAAAGGTCATCCGGTGCAGTAACCACAGCCGATTGCTGGGGTAGTTGAGTAAGAATGGGAAACTTTGGTTCAGTTTTTAAATCTCCCATCTACTTGAGTTTTTTCCACTTAAAACCCAAGTATATTAAGAAATGATTAGCATATTTTGAATGGACAACCCCTGCCAGAAGATGGCTAGAATATTTTCTTAATAAAAGAAAAAATCCATAGAATATTTCAAGAGACAAGTGGGGAACATCTACCTTCACAAAAAGTGACAGAACTATTTAAGGACTGGTTTATTTACTCGACGCGTTCTCTTTCCTTGAAATTTTGGTATTTCATCCTCTCGATTTCTGCAGAATCTGGAAGTCGTCTAATATCAAACGCCTTTTGAAAAAGGGAGTGGAATTTTAAAAATGGTTAACAGATAAAAATGTCTACCGAAAAAGGTTAAGACGCCGCTGTCCATAATTTATTTATTTAAGTATTTAGTTAATCGGGACAGCGAACAAATGGAACCAGCCAACTTTACCTACTGCTAAAACAGACGTATGCAACACTTCCAAAAGCAGCAGTAATCACAGGACTCAAGGTAGGTTTGTTGCTATAATGCAAGAGGAGTCTTAAGATTTCAGCATAAATAACGCTTCATCTAACCAAGATCAAAGTACTGTGTAAGAGCGACAACTGCAACAATGGGATAGACAAAATTTTCCTTCAAATATACCACAACATCACGCTACTTACGATTTGTGCACTGCCGGAACGCAAGGCCAGACGACTGCTTTGCCCAAGTTGGCCGAAAGGAAACGCACATTGCATCGCCATCTCATGACGGTGGTGGCCAATGAGGGCACCTCAGCTCAGCCCAGAGGACGAATCAAATTACACTTGGGGTGTTTTAATCGAAGTGAAATACGAGTGGACGAACGGAGGAGGGAGGCAAGGCAGGCATCCAAGACTCACTTGAAATCAGCCTGCAACATTGCAACTCAAAGTACTGCTAATGACGCTTTGGGGTAAGAAAAAAATGAGGAGGCGAAATAGCTGCTGGTTTGCTATAAAGTATGAAGTTTAGGCAGTAACTAAAGATTTTGTTACAGTAGGGAAAATTTCCAATTTATTTCTATTTATTGAGTACAGCTACTAGGAAGGCAGTCAGGTATTGTCCACGGCTAATAACAGACTAAAATATTTTTTTAAGAATAAAATTTTATTTGTGTTCCGCCTTCTAGTGATCAAAATACACAAGAATTGGTCGATAAAGTTGGTCTGTTAGAGTCCCGCCTACCGCCGCAAAATAACTTTCCACCACTGCAGATGAGGCCCTCCTCACACCAAAATTATGCAAGAAAATTAAGTTTACAGCAGATCCTTCAGTTCCATCTGCGACACCTAGGCAACTGTTTTTTTAAACCCTTTCGTAAAAGTACTTTTAGTTTAATTAGTAGTAAATCAAATGCTAACATTTTCATCTCGACTGTGTGTGTCCACCTCTGTGATCTTCTTCAGACTATTGTATCATGAATTTTCGTTCATGGCGTTTCGCTTAGCAGCCAGCCAGTCCTTCTGTGCACCTACAATGGAGTTCCACCCCAACTCACTCCCAGGAAGGTGGCTACAGTGAAGACTTGATGTTGGACTCATCATCATATTTCTGCAAAGGCAGTTCCATGCTGGATCAAGGTTTCGCAGATCACTAGAGATGACGTTCGTTGGACCTTATGTATGGCTTTATGGGTAGTGTCAGTAATGCATTTTGATATTTTAAAACATGATTTTAAAAAACCAAGCGAAACCTTAATCCCGAACTCCCTCATTTATGAACAATGCAAAATCTTCCAACTTTGTGCCCTTTCTTAAGCTATCTTAAGAGTTGATTTTATTTTTTCTTGTTAGAAAGGAGTAAGGTAGAAAAATCGCATAAGTTTTAATAAAGTCATATAGGTTTCCACGTCAGCAGAACCTTTTCTAAACATTTTTGAGCATAGACGCTTTTGCAAGAACAGAACCATCCAGACCATCCATTTTACATTTCTTCAAATGAAGGAACTCAGGGATAATGAAAGGTATGCAGTGCCTCCAACAACCACTCTTTTGCACCGTACCTAAGACGTGGCCATTGCTATTTATGAATGAGGAAATCGGATTCACCATAGAATATAAAAAAGTGGAAATAAAACAATTGTGAAAGGCAAAACTACTAATCGACGTGAATATCAGTCTTGCATGGATACAAATTTGAAGGTTAGGTTGACTTCGCACGATAAGGAATAAAATTTTGGAACGCCTTGAGGTAATATCACAGGATTTTGTACAGAAAATCCTTTTTCTGCGATTATGTCTTAGTTTTTTCTTCTATGCAAAGGAAAAGTTATTCAATGGCTGCAATTTACAAATGTTGCTCCCCGAGACTTCCTCGGGGAGTATTTATAATCGACATACTGCAGGGCTTAGGGCTAGTGGCATAGCCTGAAGCCAAGCCGCCCGACGGAGGTACAATGGCCGAGACCCAAAGAAGTCCCTGTGCCAAAATCCAGAGCTAAACAGCAGACGTATTACAACCAATGCTTTTATCCAATTCGTAATCCTTTGGTTAGTTGCAATACGGTATCCCATTTTGAGGAAAAAAAAGAGTTGGATGTCCGACTGCTTCATGTTACCGATATTTAATGAAAAAGTATTAAAAAGGTTCTTCTAAATCAAGTCTAACCTCTGGTTACCAATTCACATATGTACATGGGAGAAATTTGGTAAATTTGGAGGAAAATAAAACAAATATGTACACGCAATTCAAAATGTTGCTAATTATAAACATCAAATGTGTTTTTTGAAAAAGGGATCCTTTTTGTCATCCAGCTGAGTCAGTTACGTGAAGATGCATTCTACTGTCACAGATTGGAATTCCGCCTAACCCACCATGCATTTTGGTATGATGTTATGAACTTGGGTCCTGTCAATCTCCCAATCAGAGTGATTAATCGACAGGGTCTTTGGTGACTTTACTTGCTGACAAGTATGAGTAAGGAAGGGGCTACGAGGTGGGGAGGGCGGCTTCAAGATGACCGCGCGACTAGCAGAGGATGCTCGAGTCACGGCGGTTTCAATTGACCCTGGTCTTGAGGGTACATCTGCAACTGATATCTACCAATCAGGAGGAACCAAGTGAGATAACGACTCCCTGAGACACTAAGAAATTGCTATAGAAAATGAAATATTTTAGAAAATTAAATTAGGTGCATTTTCTGAGGATCTATTCGATCTCAGCATATGTGCTACTTACAAATGAAATGAGTAACGATGCTTACCCTTGGAGTAGCATGTCAAACTTTTTCCTACAGTTACAAATATTAAGCGGCGTTAATTTCTACAGGTTTCTGTGTGTCCTAAAACTTAATTTAAGACCAAAAATTCCTTTATTTTGAGCTTTATAAACATATTTTAAGTACTTTATAAAGTGAGACTGAGGCTTGTTAACTTTTCAAAATTACAAAATCAGCAATATGCCAAAGGAATTTTGGCTCTTTCTCAGAGCAGATGAATTTGCACTACTTTCAAAAGTATTGTCCTCCGGCGATTTGTACATTCTATGTAAGCAATCAAGAAATGACCACAAAGTAAACCGTTCAAAAAGAAGTTCGAATTAACGCTACCTCATGCAATCATAATTTTTCCTACCTCCTGAAAAAAAAAATGTTATGCAACGGCCAAACTGTAAACCGTCCGAACTGCATATCTCAAGCCTACACGGGTGAGTAAAGCCTTGAGTGTAGGTGACTTGAGTGTGAAAAAAAAGTGGACAACTTGTCATTGCCATTTGGACGTTTGAAAAGGCATATTTATATGAGTTATCATAATTCCGCAAACCACTTTGGACGGATGTAAGGATGGAATTTCTTACAACGAGTCCCATAATTTAAAGTAGGAAGATAATTTAAACGCATTGGTTATTTAAAACTTTGATTTAGTAAAAGACACCTTGTGTCTTGGCCACAGTGCCTTCGCTGGGTGGGCTGGTCTCTGGGCCCCAGGCGCTACTCTATGCGTGTACGACGTCTTCCTTCGTCTTCAGAGAAATCTCAGGGTGCTACAATGGTTTTACTCATATTTTGTTCTATAATTTGCACATAACTGCTAAGAAGACAAGTTTATCATTGAATGAATTATCAAAATTCTGGAACAAACTGGGCCGCCACTTGTTATGTACGGCACTTCATACGTTCCAGTGGCTTCCAACAGGCTAGTCAACGGACTTCATAGCAGACGCCTTTATTGACTGACGTACGGAAGTATACAAAAGGGGGTACGGTGAGTGGATATGCGCTTGGCAGGCAGAGAGCTGAGACCGCTCAGTCATCAATGATTTAGGTAAGTGATTGACCTTGACCCTCGAATGACCATCAGTACACTTAAAACACATCTTTGTTCGATATGAACAGATCAGGAGGGAGTGGAGGACAGGATGGGTCTTCAGAAGGCTAGGCAATTAGCCATCAATTGGGACTTCTAGAAAACCGAACAGGTACGCTTTCTGGAATTGCAAAGATTACCAACAATGACTTGTGTCGAGTGTGCAAATCAAATCCCTGGGACGATAATAGACGGGGCGAAGTCTTTCGTTGTGATTGAATCACCACGATTTGGTTTGAATATTTAACCACTCACATGGATTGACCACGTAGCTTGATTGGCGGTGGACAAGCAAGGTAGTTGCCAGTTCCCAGTTAGATTTGCAGCCCCTACATGAATGCAAAATCCATGGATAACCTTGGACATGTACCACTATGACGATGCAAGGGATAGGGACAATCCAGGAGGCGGTCATGAGATGCGTATATTCCATAAATCGAAATTCAAAAACTCCCTAATTATACAACCACATCACGATATCGGTCCTGATAGGCAAAAAGTAAACAAAAAACTTTTTAAATCGCAAAGCAAGCGACTTACTCACAAATTGCCCCTACGGATAAAAACACTGTTTTTACTTTAATCAAAGAGTAGTAACATTTGGTATGGTAAGCAATTGAGACCCCGGAAAGGTAACTGGTGTCTTCTTCCAAAATTGATCGTTCTACATTACGCAAACAGCGAACTTGAAAGGCAAAAGCAGGCCGAAAGCCCGGATGACAGAGTCATTATCATAGATGAATAAAGGCAGTCTTTTTCACAGTGGAAAAACGCAACAATCGATCATCATTACAAATTGCACGGAGGAGAGGGATGTCAGATAATGGGAAATGACAGAGATCAAATGGATTTAGGAGTCTGGGGCGGCATCGGGGGAGGGTGGTGGCGGAGGCACTTCAGACGCACCAGTAACTGAAGCGGAGGAAGATTTAGGAGGAGGACGCGGTTTTCCCACCTTTGCACCGGGCTTGCGACCGCCCTTCCCCTTATTCTTCAACGCCTCCAACCGCTCCTGAGCTCTAGCTTGAGCTGCTGCGTGCGCCGCTTCTCGAGCTAAAAAAGGAGATATGCAAAAGTTATTTACGATACGAATCTAGAATCACCATTACTGATTAAATACCTGGGAAGCCAGTAGTGTTCAGGGATCTCTACTACCTTCATAGAGACCTTCCAAGTTATTTGAAGGCAACTAGTATGAAGGCAGCTTTACTAACAGACAAACTGTAGAATTAAAGATAGCCTCATTGCAGAAGAACTGAACGATTAGAAAGAGAACTCCATACCACCATCGTTGAGGCCGCTTTGCAAGAAGCTAAAGGCTCAGAGAATACCAGGCATAATTAGAGAGCTGGTAGTTAATTAGAACACTGAATTCAGCTTCAAAGGTGCTACTAGACATAGGAGACTGAAACAAAGTTGTTATAAGGCTGAAAAGGGTCTGGTGATTAGCAGTACAGAAGCTGCATAAACAGACTTGTTTGGTCAACCCAGAAGCCTCCTGGATAAGTCATCACTGAAATTATGTTGCATGAGAGCTCTGTAAAATAGCTTCAGGGACTTCGCCAATCAGGAAACGTTGACTTACTTAACACTCATTTGGCAAAGTGTAAATTAAAACAATTTTTGGATAGAAAAGCTATTTCCACCTGTCAGAGTGTATCAGAAATTACTAAATATGATCGTCGTGGTTATGGGTCATCAGTCTTGCGCGCAATCGACAGCTAAAATTGAAAAATGCAAGTAGGCCCCATGGGTAAGGACCTTTTTTCAGTCAATGGGAAAAGATATAAAATGGCTCATTTAAAGGAGTAGGCGCTAACCCTCTTTATATATCATAAAGTTGCGTTTTGAGAGCAAAACAAAGCACATATATAGGCAGAACACAGTAGCAAATTGAGTAAAAGCAGTCTAAAAAAGTACCGTGGAATCCGAACGGTCTTTCTGTTGCGGTTATGGAGAAAGTACATCTTATTCAAGCTACAAAGTACAAATAGGTTAGGTCTTAGTTTTTGAAAAAAATAGTTGGCAAACTTCGGAAAAAGTACACATTTTATGGTACTAATTCATTGTGCATACAACAGAAAACGAGGTAAATGATTTGATCACCCCTCCACTACGAGACGGAATTGGTTAAAGTGATTTTTTTCTAACATGGCTCAAAAATGGGAAGTCACTAAACCGTCAGCCCTGACAGCATACGTGTGAGATGTGTCGACCAAGGTGACCAAGCGAGGCACTAGTCAGAGTGAATTGAAATTCTTTAAATGAAAATCACCAAAATTAGCAGAGCTGAAAACAAAAGGGAAATTTAAGCACGTAGTGAATGACCAAGTGAATTTACGGATAATTTCTCATTTTGGTCATAGGAACTAATTTATTTACAATCTGACAGAAAGCAAGAGGAATCATCAGAAGCCGCATTAGCATTATAAGTAACGAAGCACGAAAGAAATTGCTTCCAATCAGGAGAAAGCAAAAATGAGATATTTTGGGTTGGCAACGACCGCGCGCACGTGAAACCAGAAAGGCAAATTTGTGTTCACCGTATCCTGTTGCTATTTTGGCACAAGAAAAAAGTTTTAACTCTTCTCCGATTGCCTTCTTCATCAACCTGACGATAACTTGCGTACTGTAAAAAAAGGTTCAACTCATCAACATTAGGATAAAAGTATGGGGTTTGTAATTAAGTCACTGTAGAACTAATGATGCTTAAAAAAGACAGCAAAAAAATCCGTCCGACTATCTAGTCACCTGTTAGCTTTGAGGCAATTTATCTCCTAAGGAGTGCCTGCCAATCAACCTGGTCTAAGCTCAGACCATCCACATGGCACATGAGCCGTTTTATGACTACAATTGGATCCACATCGTCCGTCAGAAAATTTCCCACTCCAACAACCTTCTAATGGTGTACACAAAGAATATAAGAGCAAACCACAGTCGTTAAAACTCCCATCTGTCTGCGCTCTAAATTACTCTTAAATTCACCGGGAAAAGGAGAGGAACTTTATTTCCTTTTCTAGTATTTCTAATAAAATGACAAACAAGAAAATCGGTAGTGATTACAAACCGAAAAAGTATATTCGCAATTACAAAAAGACCAGAGGAGGAATTGAGTGCTCTAGTATGGTTATACTGTGCCCTAAATAATCATTAATTCTTCGAGATGCATAAGCATTATCTTCAAAGAGTGCCAAATTCAGCAACAAAATCAATCGTTGCCCAGGAAACAAGATCCATCAAACGAGATGACACAAAATTACCCCCCTAAGCCTAGGTTAGTGCATAAATTCTTATTTTACTGATAAGGAGAAGTACTTTCCCCCGAGCATTTATTTCCAGCTCTTCCGTTCGCCCACGCGAGCGGAACGGCAGAGCACATTTTTTTTTTTCATTCGACCCAACGTCTCACCTCTCTTCACCCTGCCAATTCAAGACGCTTGTCCTAATCAAAACAACGCCCGCGATAGTGAAAAAGGGTAAACTAAGGCCGAATCCGTCCCCTATTTCCCCAATTTAAGTAGCCCCGAGTAACGAAAGGTATCACGAGCGGATTTCAAAGTAATCTGATGGCATTTGGAAGGCTGCGTAAATACAAGCTCTATTTTTACTGAGGCGAGTACGATTCAATGTAAAGATTTCAAGTGATCTGACAGAGGGAAGATAACCACATGCTATTAGGATATCTTGGGAAAATTTTTCAAAATATGCTATTCTTGGACCCTGTTCGACTAAACTATTCTAAAATTGCCGCTCTTTCAGTGCTGCAGTTCCGTTTCATTTAATTGAAAAAACGATGAAGAAAACGAAAAAAACACCGAGAATATGCTGTATCAAGAAAACGTTTGAGATAATATTGGCTAAGAGATACGAGTTTTAAATGACAGAAATAAGGACCACAATAACTGAATAAACTTACACCTAGCTATTGTGACTTTAAGCCGATTATTAGAAAAGACTATCGCAGCGCTCAAGGCTACTCTGCAGATAGTGACTAAATAAACTCATTAAACAACTTCTGTCAAGAACAAATCCCCAGTTTTCTAAGAACAGAGCGAAAAACTAAAGGACTGATGACAACCTTTATCCACGGTAGACAAATCATTCTTCTACTCGCTCAAAATCCACTACAAAATCACCAAGTTCCGCTTAAAGAAGCAGCGAAAGAATGCATCAGAACAAGAAGTGTATTGTGAAGACAAACGAGGAAATTCATCAGAAGTGAAACAATCAAGAATGTGTATCATCAGCAAAATGAGCAGCTAGTTTCGAAGGATTTCGCGCAAAGGCAAAGATGTGGTCTCGCTGGTAAAAGGAAAATGTGACCTGAATGCTTGAACATTATTTAAACTAAGTGAAAGATTTCGATTAGGAAATGTAGAGGTTCCGGTCTGATAGAGGCCTAACTCAAATCGAGGCAAAATGTCAGGAATGAAGAATACAGTCACACTGCGAAGAGAATCCCATGCGTAAAATTAGAATTAAAAGAGTGGTGCTAAAGAGGTATGAATGCAGATTATCCATAGCAAGTGAGGAATGGAGAATAGACCAAAAAATGACAAAATCAACACAGTTAGAGGACGATTCATCTTCGTGGTCAGTATATCACTAATAAACAATTACAACTTCATCAAAAACATTTCAATTTGGATGCGATTTGGAAACAGAAAAGGCACAGTTGAAAATAAGAGCTTTGGTTTTACACAAATCAGGCTTATTCGGGACCTCTTTACCTAATTTACAGAAGAAATCAACATGAAAGAACGAGTAGCTGAAGCCGAAGTAAAAAAAATCTTAAACAAGGTTTGAGAGCATAACCTCTAACTCAACTTCACATCAAAGAAACACAGCTTGAGCAAAAGACACCAAAAAATGGGGCCACAAATGTGTATAAAGTACGTCGTTTTCATAACAAAACGCCTTTCATCACACAAACTAAAAGGGAACAGCCGGTGGCAATGACCTTATTATACCAAATTAAAACCTCCTGATGAGTTAACTCATCCAAATGGAAAAAAAATCCCGGAATGAATGTCAAATCAAAGAGTTTGAAGTCGCAACATCGGAAGAGCAATATAGGACACTGAATAATCATTACTAATGTCAACAATCCAAATGAGTTACTGTTGGTTTTATGGATAAACATGAGACGCCAAAATTACCAGAATAGAAGATAAAAAGGACTCTTCTGGGTTGGTGAGCTTACAATGATAGGAACGGAATAGTCCGTAAGGCAATGCGATGCGAAAAACAAAACACATCCTTAAAATGGTAAATCGAGAGTGAGTAATGATCCAAAGAAAAACTTTGAGACAAAAACGAGTAATAGCCATCTTTTGATTGAAAATTAAAACAATTTGAAGCATTATTTAATCATGAGGGTGAATGGGTGCAAATTTGACGCATGGGAACTGACACTGGAAATTCTTCTACTCATGAAATGATGAGCGAATCAAATTCAAAGGACAAAAACAATTCATTACGAAAATGGAAAAAAACGGAGACTTTTATGTTCATTGAAATAATACTAAAATGAAAAACGGGAAAAAGGATGTAAAAGTTCCAAAAGCGAATTAATGGAAATAAGAGAGACACAAGTTCGATTTAAATGAACAGACTGTGACAGACTGGGTGGCGGTCAATGGTTCAGAAAAAAATTGGTGACAAAAAAAACCTTAAATTAATAGGTACCTGATACACAAGCCACACGATCTCTATTAAATCCCTAGGCTTGGTTAATGATAAAAACTGCGCACACAACCAAGGTCATGAAAATGAAATGCTTAAGTATTTGCAAATAGCTTTGATAAAAGATGACGTGCTTAATGAATTTACGTATTTGGGAGAACTGACAGAACAAATATTGGGGATTAATAGCTTTCTTGACCAAAGTGCTGAAAGCTACTTCAGAATTTTCAATTATAAATAAAATTTTACAAGCGAAACAGTCGTGGAGATCTACCAAAACCCACGTATAATATCGTCGAAAATCGTTCAGCCCCGAATCGTAAAAAGCATTAGAAAACACTCCCGATAAAAATATTGGAAGTCCTGGTTCGGCTGGAATTAAACGTAAAACTTGATACTAAAACGGCCATAATCCGAAGGTTGGTAGACACAAAGTAGCAAACACACCTGCATGTCCCTAGAGTCAAAGTTGTATCAAAAAGTTCTGCACAGAGCAATGGAAAGGCATTTCAAGCCCTGCTTAAAATGGAATTGAGAGTGCCTACCCGAAGATCAGAGATGGTTATAAAGGAGAATTTAACGAATAAGGGGGATTTCAGAGTTAAAAAGTCGGTTAGAAAACAGGGATTATTTCAACTCATATTGAATCGTAAGGGATGAGTCGTGCAAAACAATGAGGCATTTCAGCACCCGTTTCGGCTGGAATCAACCCAAATAAGTGTGACCACACGAAAAGCACTTAAACAAAAATAGCCCTCTTACCCTTCTTCTCCTCCTCCCACTTCCTCTCTCTCGGTTCCCGCCGCCTGCGTACAAGTTTAAGGCGGGCTAAATCGCGCTCCAATTCCATTTTCGGTTTCAACGACAGCGGATCCATGGCGGAATCGCTAAAAACAGCAAATTCGGAAATTTTGGAGCTGAGGATGGGTCCACGCAATTCTTACATCCGTATCAACAATTGGCTTGTATCAAGCAGGATTTGAAATTCTACATTACAATATAGCGTACGCTTTATAAAACTACGCGAGCATTAATACCCACTAGCTAAACGGTGAATACCAACTCATTTTGAATGTGTCAAGGGATGACTCAGCAACCATACTATTGCATACGAAAACGACTAAAAAGTAGGTAATTTTTTGCCAACCTTTCAGTCTAGCTGTCATTAATTAGTGAAAACTTTCCCCATTCCAAGACTTTTTTCATGGTGTTAAACAAAAAACGAAACTCCACTTACCGCTCCTTCCGAGACATCGGAGCATCGTCGCGATTGGCGGGTTTACCAGTTCGGTTGGGGTTATGTGTCGTGATTAGGTGAGAGACACCATTGTGTCTAGGAACTTCAGGCTCCTCCTCCTCCCCATCATCATAATCATCATCGCCTGAGGAATTGGGAGGAGCGACCGAGTCGATTACGGCCTAATAAAAGCAGAAAAAAATGATAGTTACTTGCACTGACTTTAGTAGAAATGTCAGAGCCCAAAAGAAAAGGAGAATCTCAACTAGGCATACTCGAAATAAAATTTCCTCATTAATAGAGACTCAGCATACTGATATTTGGTCAGTTCTTACTAAAAATGAGGAAGATTTCACTCCTGAAGGATCGAACAAGGTCCGTGTGACAAGTAAAAAGTCCAAAGTTGGAAATATTTCAAGTTTGGTGTTTAGCAATAACAGAACGACTTGACTGCAACGACTAATGATGACTTAGTGAATGGCGCAACTCGATAGTGAACCGGAAAATCACATGGCAGGTACCCAACGCGGAATTGTGGAAGCACAATGGCCCATTAACTGACGCATCGAGAAAAGGTGGGTTTGGAGAGCCTGATCCGACAAAAGGAAAGTAAATACGAAACTCTGCAGTGAAACAAACTCTGCCTTGCGTTGATGCACACTCCGAAATAATACTGAGATGACAAAGTAGGCCAGCAAAAAGAATACAATGATTGTTTTCTCGTCAATCATGCTATTATTGACTAACGACCACTGAAATGCACTTATCATAAAACGTAACGCACCCAACCAACCATAAATTTAACGAATTCTAATGGCACCGCAATAGGCTAGTGGGAAAGTACGACAAATGGTTCTGTCAGACGTGAGTTTACCAATGAGTTTTGGCAAAATCGCCCAGTAAAATCTCTCTGTTACATTACAGACCTCATGGCAGTGAATGAACAGACAGCTATATATATAGGGATGAAGAGTAAAATGCAGGGGAATAATTGGTAAAACCTGGGAAATTTGGAGCAAAAGCATTACCAGCTGCTGATGTCTAATTTCATTCTTAGTTCAATAGTGCCCTTAGTCAGGACAGTAAACATTAAGGAAGTGAAGAGCTACCCGCGGAAACGAGAATAAAACGCGGACATTTAAGGTCATTTTTATCAAAGGCGCTTGAGCCAGAGGCAGGATAGTGCTCACAGCAGTTTCGAAACCGCGTTTGATTGGTGGAAACCTACGGTTTGCTCTGCATAGAGAAAAATTAAGGCCATTTGCCAAAACCATTCAAGAAAAGTTAGAGTAATAGTCAGCGGCACTTCATCTACCGAGCATCTTATTTAAATACCATCCATCCACGAAATTCAATAAGACCAGTGTCCAACCTACCTAACGAGCAAAATCGCAAACAAACATAGGGGAAGTACAGCAAGATTTTGAAAAACATTGGAATTGTCTTATGTTTGCACGTCAAACAGTGAACTTCGTCTACTGCAACAAAGTGACCAAGTGCATCTAAAGTTCTAGAAGAACCACTTTTGTGATATTCTACATTATATCACAGAAACCAAACAAAACGTTCATAATCGGAGGAGTTTCGGAGGTCTCTGATTAACATGCAGACCCGGATGCTAAATAGATCTGCTGACAAAAAGGTATTTAGCATTAACGGATAAACCGACTAACGTTAATATGATTTTGCAATGTTTCCTGAAACTTCGATCAGATGAAGTACCTAAGCAGTCCAAAGGGAATTCCTAAATATGCTTGACCACAGAATACCACTCACATCCTGCAGCATAAGTTCCTCTGGGTCCGTAAATGCATGGCCACCACCACGTTTCGGTTTTCTGTCTAAAGCAGGAAAAATAAACTTAAAATCAGATCCAGCTAAAAGCATATATCAAGTGCCTAAGCGCAAAGTAAAACCTCATAATTATTTTAATGGAAGGATGGCAAATTTGAATTCACAAATATACACAAACGCACTCACTAGACATGTCACGCAAGCCGGACACACCTGAACATACAAGGCATAGATACAAGCTTAAACATAGCAACGACGATCCGATGATTTAAACAAATAGGTGACTTATTTAAAATAAAGCCGTTTATTACTGGAACTAACTTTTATAAAAATTACATCAGTCGACAATTATGTGAACCATTTGCATCATGGCACTACTAAGTTGTAAAAGCAACTCCTCTCCTTAAAAAGGTTGTATAATGAAACCACTATATTTTGTTATTTTGATGCAAAATGTAATACTGGTTATTTTCAAGCTGTATAATGATCTCATCCTTATCGATCCCCCAAGTTTCTGCTCTCTCCTTTTTAAGAATGCACAAGCTCTAATTTTACACGAGTTGTTTTAATGCCTTTGCTGTTAGTCCCTTTTATTTTTGGTTTCAGCTCCCCTTCTCAAGAAGAGAGGTTTGAGGATGCATTTTCATTTTTCGGGCACATGAGTTTTGACGAGTGATCGAAGTTTTCTGTGCGGTCAGATTTTATCTCCATATAGGAGTTCTATGGAACCCTCTCATTTATGTGGCTGGTCCCACTGTTAAAGAAACATGAATTGCGCATATTTATAAAAATCCACAAAAATCCGCAAATGTTCAATTAGTCCCCTGACATTTAAACAAAATATGCGTACAAGTCGAGTTGTTATCACTATGACTGAAGGGATTTTTAGGGTTTTTATCGTTACCGATAACAAATAC